TACATCTGCACTGTAAATTTCTTTAAAATATTCAGCAGACTTTTTTAATGTCTCTTGATCTTGACTATCTGTCTGCATCAAAAAACTAAAGCGGTTTTCAATTATTAAATATGATGATTTTCTTTTTATTAGCTCGCTCATTAATAAGTCACAGATGACATAATGGCACTGTGTTATAAATATCTCTCGGCTAGTTAAATCCACTTCTTTGGATTTCGAATCATCAAGATACCTATTTTTTACAACTTTAATTTTTCGCTTTTCAATAAAGTCACAATTGTGAAGCTTTAGAAACATACGTATCAAAATCATCTCTGATACATTGAATAAACTTTATAATTGAATCAAATAAAGGTATGATAATGCTTACATTTCCATCTGTTGCTTGCAGCTGGATATTAACTTTATTTAGACGCTGCAAAATAGTGTCCCACGAGACAGCCAAAACTGCTGTTTGTCGTTTATCCATTTTTTTATACAATGATTTTGCATCACACCTTGTTGAACTGGTCTCACTCGAACTACTTGAAATTTCACACAAAGCTTGCATAATATCCTTATATCCATCCTGCAATGACTTTGTATCTTCTGCAGCAGCAGACCATCTTGTTATGCTAAGGGACTTAACAGTGAGTTTATTTTTAAATTTTTCGGACAAAATAGCCCATCTATGGGCCGATGCTGAGAAGAAATTATAAATACTCTGGATCAGGCCAAAGAAAGAAGTAGCCTGTTCACAAGACTCGACAGCTGCTACTCCAACCAAATTTAAAGAGTGAGCAGAGCATGGAATATATTCAGCTGTAGGAGANCTTTAATTCGAGCTTGAAGGCCTGAGTATTTTCCAGACATATTCGTATGACTGGCCTCTACAATTTTTAATATCAACCCCTAAATTTTCTAAGAAACTAGTTATAACTGTGCATAGAGTGAGGGAGTCATGACTATAAATGTTTAAAAACTTGACAAACCTTTCCAATGGTCTACCACTTTTATCCACGTAACGTAGCACAATTGAAAGCTGATCGTTGTGTGTGATGTCTGGCGTTGAGTCTACAATTAATCCAAAATATTTAGAAGTTTGTACTTCTGCTACAATTCTATCGAGTACCTTCTGACTCATAATGCTGATTAATTCAGTAACAACTGTAGAAGACAAGTAATTTACATTGCCAGTCCCCGGATTTCCATATTTAGCTAAATGTTCAGCTAAAAAAGGGTCAAACTTGCCCAATAATTCAAGAATGCCAAGAAAATTACCATTGTGAAATGAACCAATTGTCTCGTCACTTCCAAAAAATGCTAACTCACGTTGGCAAAGAAACTGAGTTGTTGCAACAACTCGAGCTAGCACTTTTCGCCAATACAACCGTTCATTTGCATATTCTTCCACTAGCTTGCTATCAATTCTCATAGAAGAGGTTAACCTTTGAGATAAAGCAAGCACAGAATTCCTATGAACCATTGAGTTCTCATGCTCTTTTAACCTCTCTGAAGTATTTTTCCAATAAGAAAAGCCTCCTTTGCAAAGCGATTGGTCACTAGCACTGAATAGTTTACATATGTAGCAAAACACTGCATTTTTTGCTGGTGAATAAACCAGCCATTCTCTTTTGAGTACCGTCATTCGGGGCTACTTTGTG